AAACTATAGATGACTATTGCTCGTGAACTTAGATGCAAAAGTTCTTAGTAAAATATTGGCAAATTATATTCCAGAACATATTAAGAAGAACCTGTATCGTGACCAAATTTGTTTTGTCCCAGGAATGCAAGGATGATTTAATACATTCAAATCAATGAATGTAAGTTACCAAACCATAGAATTAAGAAAAAGATCACTTAGTCGTCTCAAGAGTTTCAGAGAGAGCCTTTGAGAAAATTCAGCACCCATTCATAAAAAAATCACGGTCGGAGCCAGGTGCAGCGGCACATACCCGTACTCCCAACAGCTGGGGAGGCTGAGGCAGGAGGATCACAAACTCCAAGCCAGACTCAGCAAAAGTAAGGCCCTGAACAACTCAGGGAGAGCCCGTTTCTAAATGAAATACAAAATGAGGGTCAGTGGTCAAGTGCCCCTGAGTCCAATCCCCAATACCCACTCCGCCCCCCACAAAAAAAAACCCTGTCCCATTCACAATAAGCTGAAGAAAAAAAATATGAATAAAAGTAACCAAGGTGGTGAAAGGCCTCCACAGTGAAAACCGTAGGACACTAGGGAATAAACTGAAGAAGAAGAAGGTGCAGTCTTCCATGTCCGTGGAGAGCCAGAACTGATATCGTTAAAATGGCCACCACCAAAAACAATACGCAAATCCACTGCACTCCCCACCAGATTCCAGTGACTCTGTGAAACTAGGAAAAAAAGTCTTAGAATTTGTTTGGAAGAACAGAAGACCCACAATAGTCAAAGCAATTAAAGGAAAAAAAGCAGTATTAGCGGGATCACACACCTGAGCTCACCTTACACCAGAGAGCTACAGGACAGAGCTGCATGGCCCTGACGTAGCACAGTCCCAGGGACAGAGGGACAGGAGAGAGGTCACGGAGCACCCACATGCTCCCAGCCATCTGGGGCTCAGCACAGGTGCCAACCCACATGGGAGGAAAGACACCTGCAGCAACGGGGCTGCCACAACAGGAGACCCCAGGAGAAGAATGACACTAGGCCCTGGTCACTCACCTGCCCAACGTCAGCTGGAAATGGATCAAACCTCGGAATTAGACCAGAAATGTGCGACTCACAGAGGAAGACCTCTGTCTACCCTGCAGCACACAGGACGGCCTCGGGGTCTCCGTGGAAGTTGAAGACTCGGGGACAATGACAAGACTTAGTGAATGGATGGATCAGATTAAAGAGCTTCGCAGGACAGGAAGCTGTTAATGTGAAGAGAGAACCGGGGAGTGGGGGAGACCCTTGCGCGCTGCTCTTCTGAATAAAGTGAATATCCAGAAGACAGAGAGAGCTCAAAAACTTAACAGGGAAAAAGCCAATGAATCAGCAAACGAACCAATCACTTCTCAAAGAAGAAACAGAAATGTCCACAAACACATGAAAACGCACTCGACACCATTACCAGACAAGGAGAAGGGAATTAAAACTGCACCGAGATTCCGTCCCCACCAAGCAGAATGCCCGTCATCAGGAATAGGTGACACTAAGTGCTGGGGGTGCAGAAAAGGAGCACTCCACCCCCCAGGGGCTGAGGATCAGCACAGCCACCATGGAAACCCTGTGGAGGTTCCTCCAAAGACGAGGCGCGGAAGCCCCTGCGCCCCAGCTGTGCCACCCTCAGTGTCTGTCCTGAAGAGTCCAGGTCATCTTACTGCAGAGGGACAGCACACCCTGTTGACAGACAGCAGCACACCTCCCAGGAGCCAGGCCTTGGAACCAGCCCTGGTGTGATCCGCGAGTGACTGATAAAGAGACCGCGGGGTCCACACAGTGGAGATCTACTCACATTAAGAAGAAGGACACATGGCGTTTCCAGGACAACGGGTGGAACTAGAGACCATTGTGTTAAGTGAAATACGACAAACTCAGAAGGTCAAGGGTGGCCTGTTTCCTCTTATATGTGGAAGCCAGAGAGGGAAAGGAAAAGAATGTGGGTCTCCTGGAAATCAGATAGGTCAGCAGAGGAGAGGACAGGGCCAGGAGGAGGGAGGAGGGACAGAAAGGGGAACACGGGTGGCAATGGTGAGTCACAGTGCTGCGTTGTGTGCTTGTGTGAACGTGGAACTGCACACCCACCAGGCGTACAACGACCGTGCACCAACAGGGAATGTGGGAAACCAAGTTCTACTGCACACTGTCTGCGACAGATCCCTTGATCTGGTGTTTTGGTTTGTTTGGTTCATTTTTTCTTTTCTTTGTTCATTTATTTCTCAGACTGAGTCTCCCTATCTTGCCTGGCCGTCCTTGAACTCCTGGGCTCCAGCGATCCTCCCCTCTCCCTCCCACACAGCCAGGACTGCAGGTCCTGCCACTGGGCACACCTCGGAACCACACTTCAGCTCACGGACACAGAGAGGCTGACGGTGAGCACGGAGGAGAATGTTCTGTGCCAACAGGAACCGAGAGAGAGAGCGGGGGAAACTCCAGTCACATCAGCAAAACAGACGGCACCTCAACAGGCACTTAAGACCCAGAGAGGGACATTAACAGGGATGAAAACCCAACCACCACCCTCCTGGGACCATTATGGACACATTCCACCCACGAGGCACTCAGATGCACAAGAGAAACAGCTGGGTGCAGTGTCCACTCCTGTGGTCCCAGCACCCGGGAGGCTGGGGCAGGAGGACGGCAGGTTCCAGGGCAGCCTGGGCAACTTAGTGACCCCTAAGCAACTTAGTGAGAAAAAGGTAAGAAGTGCTGGGGACGTGGCTCAGTGGTGACGCATCCCTGACATCAATCCCTGCACCAAGATGATGATGATGATGATGATGATGATGATGATGATGATAATGATAATGATTCAGGCAGATGTGCAGGGAAAGCTGAGAAGGGCAGTAACGGGAGATGGCCGCGTCCCACTTTAATGCTGGACACCACACCCAGAAAGGACATCCAGGACCAAACAGGACATGAGGACGGGAACCCCAGAGAGCAAGTGGGTGCAAGAAGGAGCCAGCCAACCTCTGCACAGCCAGGACCCCGCAGGGCACATCTCGGCAGGTGACAGGACAGTCCCCACCAACCTAAGAACCAAAGCCCCGTCAGGGGTCTGTTTTGGCCTCAGTGGAGTGAAACCAGGAACCGGTCCTGAGAGGGAACCAGAGCTCCCCAAGGCTGGAGGGGAGACCCTGCCTCCTGGGACAACCTTGGGACAAAGAGGACACGGAGAGGGGATCAGAAAGCTCTTCAAGACAAACAGAAATGACAACAGGACACATCAGAACCACTGGGATAAAGCTGGGGTGGCAGGTCACTATCAGCAGGCTGGACCCTGGTTCTGCCCCAGCAGGGGGTGGGGGAGAGAGGAGAAGAGGGGAGAGGAGAGGTGAGGAGGGGAGGCAGAGGGGAGTGGAGGGGAGGGAGGACAGGACAGGAGAGGGCAGGTGCAGAGGAGGGGCTGGGTGCTGTCCTGGGCCCAGGGGACTGAGCCAGCCCAGAGCAGAGCCCAGTGCCCACCCTCCCCGGAGCCCAAGCCCACTCCCACCCCACATGGAGCAGGGCCTCCTCCTCAATGACCCCTGGTTGATCTGAGACCCAGGGGACCCTTCCATGTGGCTCCTTCTCCATTTGGGGACCTTTCCAGTCCCCTTTCTGCTGATGAGGAGAGGAGCTGCAGGGGCAGACATTAAGGGACAGTCTCTGAACGCTCGGAGCCCATGGGGCCTCCCTGGGACCACACAGGTCCAACTCCCACCTCTCCTGGCCCAGACCCAGGCTGCCCTGCCCTGGAGGAGAAGCCGGCTGAGCCTGTCCACCTCCAGGCCCTGCTGACCCCACACTCCCACCGTGAGGGGCAGACAAGAGCTCCACACAGGCAGCAGTGGCTGCGGGACCAGAGTCCCTGCTCAGGAGGACAGGGCAGTGGAGATGAGCGGGCACTGAGAGCAAGAGCTGGCCCAGGAGGAGCGTTC